GGAATATCTTTCTCTAGATTTGGGAAATTTTCTGTTTTTATTTTGTTGAATATATTAGCATTCCCTTCACTTGCACCTCTTCTTCTTCGATGCCCATAATTGGTCTTTTGACGGAGTCGGTGAGTTCTTGCATTTTCTTTTCACAGGGCTTGAGTTGTTTAATTAATAGTTTTTCGGTTTTTCCTTCAATTACCATTTCATCTTCGAGTTCTGAAATTCTGTCTTCTGTTTGTTCTATTCTGCTGGATTGGCCTTCCATTTTGTTTTGCAGTTCTGTTTCATTCTTTTTTCTGAGGTTTTCCATATCCATGTTCCTTTCCTCTTTAATGTTGTCTATTTTTGTCCTGAGTTCTTTTATCTCTTTATTAATTGTTTCCTCTGTTTTACTTTGGTGTTTATACAGTGCTTCTATGGTTTCCTTTATTTCTTCTTTTGCTTTTTCAAATTCTCTATTTTTGTTGTCTTGGAATTTCTTGAGTGTCTCCTGTACATTTTGGTTGACCATATCCAGTATCATCTCTATAAAATTCTCATTGAGTACCTGTAGTATGTCATCTTTTAAATTATTCTTGTGGGCTTCATTGGGTTCTTTGGCATATTTAATCTTCATTTTGTTGGAGTCTGGATCTGAGTATCTGTTTTCTTCATTTCCCTCTGGTTCCTGTACTAATTTTTTGCTGTGGGAAAACTGGTTTCCCTGTTTTTTCTGTCTTCCTGTCTTTGCCCTTGGTGTTGTTATTGTCCCTGTACTGTGTGCAATTAAGTATTTTCTGGCTTGTAATAATAGCACTAGTGATATTTAGAATGGAAGGGTGAGAGGGGATGGAAAGCAAAGAAGTTAAAGGAAAAGGGAAAAACAAATAATCAAGTAGAAAAAAAAACACAATGAAACAAAAAATTTTCAAAGATATAAACAGGGAGAGACAGTGTACTAATTGACAGTAAGCTGAACAGGCATTAGAGAGACAGAGAGTTTTGAAAATAAAAAATAAAAAGAATAAATGTAAGATTAAAAATTAAAAAGCCCTCCAAGTTCAAATGCAGTGAAGTTTCAGTCTTAATAATTTTGGTGTTTGTCCCTCAGTCTCCAATCCTGGAGATGGTGCCTCAGATGTTGTTCTGTAGTTGTCTCATCAAAGGGGAAACATAAAATAGAACAAAACTGCACAAACAACAACAACAACAACAACAAAAACACACCCACAAAGTGTCTCAAGTTCAAATGCAATACAGTTTCAGTAAGTTTTTTAGCATGCAGGTGTAGTTCGGTTGTTTTCTCATCAAAGGTAGGGAGAGAGAAAAAAAAGAGTTTGGAGACAGTCCTGTGAATGGCTATCTGTAGCTGTGGCTTGCCTGCCTGCTGCTGTCAGCCTGCTGTTGCTGGAGGCGTTATTTATGCAGATCTCTGGGGTAAGCTTAGCACTCACCTGGCCCAGCAGGCTTTGCTTCCTCAGAGTTCTGTGCCCGATGCCACTGCTACAAACTTTCCCCTTTCCAAGCACCCTGGGGGAGGTGACACTGCATCTGCATTCTCAGGCCTGGGTGTTTATTTACAGCTCATGTGGGAAGTGAGTCTTCCCCTCCTCTCCTGTGGAGTTTTCCTCCCTCTGCCACTCTCACAAGCTTTCCCGCTCCTTGTTGCTGGGCGCGCATTGCGCGCTGCCGCTCCCACCCTCTCTGGCCAGGCCCAGCTTATTTATTTACGTTTCTGGGAGTGATTCCCCTCTCCTCCTCTTTGGCGCTCAGGGCACCCCACCCTCTTTGCTACATGTCTTTATTGTTATTATTGCTTATTACTCAGTTTCTCTTTTTTCCCTGAGTGGGGGTTGGTCTGTCCGGGGGGCTATGCTGATCTGGCCCAGGGTTGTCTGTGGAAGTACCGCGTACCCCTTAGCTCACCTTGTCCGCGTCTTCCCAGGCCATCTGGGCATGGCGTCTTAACATTAATTTGATGTTTAGTGATCCTAAGTCCCATATCAGGGATGTGGCAGACTTGTTTAAAAGCACATACATGTAAAGCTTTCTGGACTGCAGAGTTGCTTTGGCACTAGACACTCGTTAATGAATGCTTACAGTAGACCTGGTCCTGTGAAGATATGGGTGTAACCATGACTAAATCCCTGTCCCCAAGGAGCATCAAGCCAAATAGGAGAGGCAGTTGAGTGATATGTCTTCTGGTTGAAGTGCCTACCCTTGCTAGGGGAGGTGGGCTGTCAGAGCAGGGTGTACCTTGCTGGTAGTGAAAAGTTATGGGATCATCTGGTGGGCTTGGAGAAGTGCAGAGCAGAGGTATAGATATTCCAGAGAACATGTTGTGGGAAGCTGGTGATTTAGATGAAAAGATAAAAGGTTAAGTGTTTGTCCTACCTGAATTCAAATCTTTGCCCAGTAACTTTATGACTTTGTGATCCTGGGGATTACACTTAACCCTTAGGACCTCTGTTTTCTCATTTTAAAAATAGCACTGTTGGTGCTTCTCTTGAAGTCTTGTAAAGATTATAAAGCGCTAAATGATTGGCATATAAGGTGTAAGTTCATCTTTGAGAATGACAGATCTTTCCACTGCATCTATATGTACAAGTGCTCATCAAGTGGATGCTGGCATATAATTTTGACTATATGAGATATAAATGTGCCTTTTGGTTGATTACTGTAATTTTTTTTTTATGATGGTACGGAGTTTGTACTCAGGGCCTCAGGCTTGCTGCATAGGTACTCTTACCACTTGAGCCACTCTGAGCCACCCTGCCAGCCCTTTTTTGTGATGGGTTTTTTCAAGATAGGGTCTGATTCACTATTTTCCATGGCTTTGAACCATGATCCTCCTGATCTCTACCTCCTGAATAGCTAGGTGTAAACCACCATCATCCAGCTGGTTACTGTAATTTATATAAATATTTGGAGGTTCATATTTAAAAACTGCTACTCTGTTTTTAGGAATCCTGCCACCTCATTATATCCTGATTCTGGCATGAGTGCTAGCTTATAGCTTATGGCAATATGAGACATATAAATGTAAATTCTCTATTAATTACTCTAATTTATATAAACACTTATTGGGTTCACATTTGAAAGATAATATTAAGGAATTCTGCCTCTTCCTTTATCCAGATCCTTGGCCTGGTCCAGTGTAGGACAATTTTTGGGCTTTTTTTGCCAACATATGTTGTCAGTGTGCCAAAGCCCTATTTGAATTACATCATTCTCTTCTCTTCTTTCTATTAGTAAAGGTAATAACTAATAGATGCTAATTGGCCAATTAACTTTTTTATTGAGAAGGGGTTTTCTTTAGGTAGGTACTTTGCAATCTAAATATCTTCAGTTAATCTCCGGCTTAATAATTACAAATGGTTTGACTGAAAGTTCCTTGATGCCTGTGACACAGAATTCTAAGTAAGGACTTGCTTGCATTGCTAAGAAAAAGGCCTATTGTGTTGAATAGGGAGTATTGTTACTACTTCTCTATCCATGGAATTTTTTTTTTTTTGCATTAGTGCTTTATGGAAATTTCCTTTTTAGTACCTGGGTTCGAATTCCAGTTCCACATTGCCTAGCTGTGTGACCTGAGCAAGTTATTTGATCTTTCTGTGTCACATCTGTAACATGGAAGAAATATTATTACCTGTTACATTACCTATCCTGTAGTGTTGTGAGGATTAAGTTAATAAAGTATGATATGCTCAGAACAGTGCCTCAGATATGGTAAGTGCTATCCAAAATGCTTAGGATAAGAAGTGTTTTGAATTTGGGATATAATCTTGAAGATGGGACCCAAGCATAAACACAAAATCCATTTATATTTCATGTACAATAAATATGTATACAGATATATCATATGCAGATATATATATATATACCTTTCTTGTGTGTGTTGGGTTAGGGATCAATCCCAGGGCCTTGTACATGCCAAGTAAGTACTCTACCACTGAGCTAATTCCCAGCCTGTACCTGTGTTTTGATTGTGACCTGTCACCTGCTATTGGGTGTTCAGTTTCCACTTGTATTGTCACACTGGCCCTCAAGAAGTTTTGGATTTTGAAGTATTTCATATTTTAGATTTTTGGATTAGGGTCAATGTTCTTTTGATATAAACATTGATTATTGTCTTCTTCACTCTTATTTTTGGTATGATACAGTTTTATCGAAAGCAGGTGGAGTAGTTTTAGCAAACAATTCTTTTTTCCCATAAGGCTTAGTGTTTTAGATGTGCAAAGACTATTTTGGTGCATGACACCTCCACCAAGAAGAGATGGCCTGGAAGGAGACAATAAAAACATCTGGGCTGCAAGAGCAATATTCCTGGGCATTTTGTTCTAGCACCTAGTGCAAGGGCTGGTTTAGTAGCCAAGGTACCTATCACCATGATGCATCCCTGGCAAGTGAACCCCAACCCTCATGTGGCTCTCTGATCTGTTTATGGCTTCCTATAATCACGTGTCATACTGGAAAGGTGGCAAATCTTCAAACTGAAGAAGGATTTACATTCAAGGATTTGATGTGCTATTCAAATTGGTTTGCTGTCTTATGCATATTTTGGTAGAACTAAAAATATTTCATTACTTTAGTTTTTGTGCCAAAAGCTCTTGGTACTTCACATGATCTTCTTGTTTTATATAAGGTATCTTATGGTCAGATGACTGAGAATGAGCTATAAATTACATTTGCAAGGAATAGAACAAGAACAACTCCTTACCTATAATATAAAAAGAAAGACAGCTTCAGTCATAATTTTTGATTAATATAAAAAAATGGGGTTTGGATGTGGCTCAGTGCTTGTCTGATGTGCATGAGTCCCTGGCTTTAATCCCCAGCACTGCAAAACAAAAACTAACAACAACAACAACAAAAAAAACCAAAGTTAGGGTTACGCAGTGAATTCATTCTACTTGGATTAAAAAAGGACTTAGTGGAGGAAACTGGGGTGAAAAGGTATACTTTTACATAAATAAGATACTAGTGCTAGGAAGAAATTTAATGTTTTGCTAATTTTATTTCATTAGCCACCAATCCCAGAAACCATACAGTAATGTTTGACACACTTAAGGACTGGTGTTGGGAATTGAGCGGACCAAAGGCAACATGAAGTACAAAGCAGTGAGTGTCAATGAAGGCTACAAAATCTGTGAGAGGTAAGTTCAATGCTGGTTGTATGCCATATTGTAGCATATTATCAAAAAGCCGTTCTTTTTTATTGCCAAATAACATTCCATGGCATAGATATATCATGTTTTATCTATTCATTAGTTGATGTATATTTGGGGGCTCTTCTGAAAAAGTCTGTGATAAATATTGATCTACAAGTTTTTGTGTGGGTATGTGTTTTCATTTTTCTTCCATATATAAATCTAGGAGTTGAATGGCCAGAACACATGTAACTCTGTGTTTAACTTTTTGTTTGTTTTTGTGGTACTGGGTCTTGAACTCAGGGCCTTCACCTTGAGCCATTCCACCAACCCTATTTTTGTGAAGGGTTTTTTGAGATAGGGTCTCATGGAACTATTTGCCTGGGCTGGCTTCAAACCATGATCCTCCTGATCTCTGCATCTTGAGTAGCTAGGATTATAGGCATGAGCCACTGGAGCCTATCTGTGTTTAACTTTTTGAGGAGCTGCCAGACTATTTTCCATGGAGATTGCACCAGTTGACCCTCCCACTGGCAATGAACAAGAATGTGCTAGGGTTCCTTTCTTCACATCAACACTAGTTTTAATTGTTTTTTGTGTATGTGTGTGGTGCTGGGAATAGAACCCAAGGCCTCGTGCATGTTAGGCAAGTGCTGTATTACCGAACTGAGCTATAGCAAATCTTCAACACTAGTTTTTAAAAGAAACTTTTTTTTCCTTTCTGTTTGTTTGGCAGTACTGGGGTTTGAACTTAGGGCCTGTTGCTTGCTAGACAGGTGCACTACCATTTGAGCCACTCCACCAGTCCTGAAAAACTTTTAAAGTGTCTCTTAAAATAGTCAAAAGTGAGTTTGTATCTTTTTGTTACTGTTGTTGCCATTATTCTATCTGTAACGTAAGCATAAAATTAGAGAAATTACAAAATTTATATGTTTTCTTTCCTTTTATTAAGCATTTCATTTACTCATTCAACAAAAATTTTGGAGTGCCTGTTATGTGCTAGGGAGTTTCCTACTTAGTAGGAATACAGTAGTCAACAGAGCTCCTGAAAACCTCTGTCCTAGAGTGTTCTGTAGAATAAAGAAATAAGATACAGTATACTAACAGATAGGTGTTGGGGAGCTGGAGGTGTGACTCAGTGGCAGAGCATTTGTCTAGCATGCATGAGGCCCTAGATTTGATCTGCAGCACTGAAAAAAGAAAGGAAGGAGGGAGGGAGGGAAGAAAAAAAGGGAGGAAGGAAGGAAGGAAAAATTGCTATGGAGAAAAATCAAACTTGGCAAAGGGGAGGGAAGAGGGGAGTACTGGAGGGGAGGGTTGGTCAGGAAGGTCTCACAAGTAAGTGGCATTTAAGCAAAGCCACTTAGCAGATTAGCTGACAGAAGAGTGTTCTGGGCAGAAAGAACAGTCAGGTCAAAGGCTGGGTGAGCAATAGGGAGAGTCCCAGGGATGGGGGAGGAGCAAACAAGGGAAAGAGTAGTAGGAGGTGACTAGAGGGAGGGGAGGGAAAGGGGATGGGGACAGGAGGGACTAGAGGAGGGAGGGAATGTTGGATGCTTTCAGAAGAATTCATCCTTTCTGATTCTGAGAACAATGAGAGGGAGTTTGAGCAAGGCAGAGTATTTTTAAAGGATGACTCTACATAATCTTGTTTTTAGAAACTTGAATCTTATCATTTTGGAACATATTTCCTAGCTCTTTGCTAACAGTTACATAAAGTGCTGTAGTCTGGTAAAATTTTTTTGTTTGTTTGCGTTCATGGTTCTGATAGGCCTTTTCAGCATATCAGTTTTGATTTTAATCAATCTGAAACATTTGCAGGATGAAATTCCCTACAGGACATGAGCTGTGGTGACAATGGGAGCAGCCTTCAGGGTTCTGTCCCCACCCAGAACTTCACTATCAGTTCTGCCCTGTTCCTTGGTCTTTCCCAGGTGGAAACTTGAAAGGGAAAAGCTAACTCTTGCTCAGAAAGAACTTAGGAACTCTTTTTCCTAGGAGATGCAATGCAAGATTGATACTAATACAGTGGCCCCATTCCCACTGTGTGTGTTTGTGTGTGTGTGTGTGTGTATGTTTTGTTTTGGGTAAGGTCTCTTGCTCTGTTGCCAGACTAGCTTTGAACTTCTTCCTGGGTTCAGGCAATCATCCTGCCTCAGCTGGGACTACAGGCATGCTCCAGCATGCCCTGCACCAAGAATTATTTGTTTTTAAAAATCCAGCCACATACTTATTTGTGGTATGTGCATAGATGTCAGCATGTCAAAAAACATAACCTGGTTTAAGAGGTCAGAGAGTGAAGCTTGTAAGTAGTGGTAAATGGGGAGAATGGAGCTTTAATACTCAGAATATCATCAGTGCAAACACACACCACTTGGACCATAGCCAGGCAAAACATAGGAAAGGCTCTGCTTTGTTTCTTGTCTAGACCAGGACAGTAACTGCTTACAGTGATCTTTGCCATCCATGCTGGTCCCCCAACAGTCCAAGTGAGCCTCTCCATTCAGTTGTTTCCCATTGGTCTTGGTATAGAACAGATCCCTTAATCAGCACTTCAGGACCATCATGGTTTGACTCTTCCCTAACTATTCGAGTTTGTCACATCCAAAAACCCATATTGACAGCTCTGCATAGCCATCTCCTCTATCTGAAAGCACCCTTTGTGGATAGTTAACTCCACTTCATTGATCAGCTCTTAGTTTAGTGCTACTTTCTTAGGGAGGCTTCCCAAGACTAGGTCAGATCTCCTCTAAGCTTTCATTGTATTGTATGTCTCCTTTGTAGCACTTAGTACAATCCTGAGTTTATTTTTATTTATATCATCATTTGGTTAATGTTGATTTCTGCAACCTGCAGCTCTATAAAATCAAAGGCACTTACTGTTTTTGCTTATCATTAAATCCTCAGTGCTAGGCACAGTACTTAGCTTCTGAGGGGAGCTCAGTAAATAGGCGAAGCTGAATTCTAAATAAGAATGAGAAACTGAGTGTCTGCTTCACCCTCCTCAAGATCAGAGATGGCCATTCTAGTGTCACAGATCTATTTCTTCTTTTTAAATTCTCCTCCTAAAAGCATTTCTCTCATCCCACCTCTATAAAGATATGAGAAGGCATGTAGCCCTTTGTGGTACAGCACAGGGGAAACTATGAACAAGAACACATTGCTGCTCTGAGTTCCCCTTTCCTTAACAAAATTGTACCTGAGTGTATTATCTAACTTCCCATGACTGAAGTTCTTTACTTTGTATTTTAAACTCATCCTAATGACTAAGATGACTGTTTTCCAAGGAGGAAGGATTCATTGCTTGTATACATTGGCAGTGTCAACGGAGACTTCTTGGAGTCCACCTGAGTTAATTAGGACAGAGGAGGACATCCTCCACTCCCTTCACTGGGTGGATACTCTTCATCGCTGCTGAGGGACAGAGGCTACAATTCTCATACACTTGGTTCTGACCTTTAAACCTGTTTTTGTGTGAAAGGCTGTTTATAAGGGAAAAATTAGCTAGTGAATTAAATTGTAAAATATTCAACTTCAGTAATTGGGAAAGACATACATCTTTATAGAGCAAGGGGGCCCCACTCCATCTTTATAGTATGAGCCACTGAGGAAGGAAAGACCTAGTTGGAACAATTCCACAGGTGACTGTCCTGAAAAGGTTGAGAAAAGTGGCCTGTGTGTAAGTTACCATTTGGTCAGCCCTTCCCACCATTGGATGTGATTTGAATCACCTGAGGATCTTGTTAAACTGAAGGAGGTGAGGCGGAACCTGAGAGTTTGTTTGCTGTGTAAGCTTTCAGATGCTGCTGCTGCTTGCTTAATGTAGTAGGGCCTTCTGGAACAATAGTTTTCATATTGACCACATTCTGAGAGAGCTTTTAGCTTCTAGATGTTGATAATTTTCAAATCTTCCCCTGTGATTTTAATAGGCAGACTGAGTTTGAGAGCCATTGATCTGTGAAAATGTTTTTACTTTAGTGACTACACTTAAGGAAAGGATGCCTTACTGCTCTTACTTCCTATTTAACAGGCTTATTCTTTTTAGAGACTAATTTACCAGAAAATTGAAGTCATACTGCCTGGGTTCAGGTTCCTGCTCCACTATATGCTTAGTAGTTGTGTAACCTGGGAAAGCCTTAGTGTTGTGTCTCAGTCTCTTTATTGTAAAATGGAAAACATCATAGTACATACTTGATAAGGTTATTGGCAGGATTAAATGAATAATTCATGTGAAGTATTAGTGCAATGTTTGGCACATAGTAGCACTCATATATTCGTCATTGTCAGAGCATTAGATAAAAATGTGTGACCAGTAATCATTGTAATTACTGGTTTTCGTAATAGTTTAACTGAAGGACGCACAGATCCTTATGCTGTTACTAGATAATAAGAAAGGTCACTCTGATATTGGAATGTGTATACTTTCACAGACCATATTTTCTAATCCCCGCTCCCTTTTTTTTGGTGGGACTGGGGTTTGAACTCAGTGCTTCATGCTTACAAAGCAGGCACTATATTGCTTGAGCCATTCCTCAAGTCTATTTTGTTCTGGTTATTTTAGAGATGGGGGTCTCAAGAACTATTTTTCCCAGGCTGACCTTGAACCACAATCTTTCCAATCTCAGGTTCCCAAGTAGCTAGGATTTTGAAATTCACAAGCATCCTGCTCTCCTCCACCTCTCTTTTTTGTGGTGCTGAGGATCAAGGCCAGCAAACGCTGTACCACTGAGCTACATCCCTAGCACTATGTCCCTAGCACCCAATTTCCTCATTTTAGGAAAGAGGAAACAGACCCAGAAAGGTAGTGAAACTTACCTATAGTTGTGCAGAATCAGCATCAGGGCTATGATTTGAACTTAGATTCCTGACTTATTTAGCCAGAGTACTTTACACCAAACTGAGAGTGACAACTCATCTGAGCTGGTTCTTCTTAAGGGAAATGTGATCCTTCCATGATGCTCTGCTTAGCTTCCTTATACTTCTGAAGTTGAGCTTTCATATTTTGTGAATTAAATGTCACATTAAAATCTGTTAACATCTCTTTCTTCTAGGTTGCCAGCTTACTTTGTTGTCCCCACCCCTCTTCCTGAAGAGGATGTGCAACGCTTTCAGGGTCATGGCATACCAGTAAGTGCATCTGGAAACCCTAAGAGGCCTTGGTTGCTCATTGGCCCATTCTAGCAAAATGATCCTACTTAAAGCCCTTGACTTTGGAACTCAAGAGTTTGTCTTCAGTCCAAGAGTAATCTAAAAATACCATAGGAACTCCCTAGAGGAGTCTCTTAAACATGAGGCTCCCTGGGACAGTACTAAAGTTTCACAAATGCCCTTGAGTTTTTAGCAGACACACTGAAAAGCTTTAAGAGAATTACAGATCTGTCTGCTGTTGAAAGCAAGCGTAAATCATTTTACTACCTAAATCATTTTGAATCTGAGATGACCACTGTAAAAGCAGTAGGATTTAAGATTCTTTTTGGCTGGCACTATTAATTTTGGTATGGGTGTGGTTATACTTTCTTCCAGAGACAACATGGATTGTTTCTTTGTTTTCACAGAATAGAATGGAATGTGAGCCATATTTAATGTGACACTGATCAAAGAAAGCAAGAGTCTGGCAGTCACTTATTTCTAATTGGTGACTGGGAATTGCCAGACTTGCAGGGAATTTAATAAGGAATGAAAATTATATGTAAATTTTGTGCTGTGCACATGGCTAGTTGGCTAAAAGGGTCCTTCCTCTATGGGAAGTAAGATGGTGAAGCAAGATCACGTGCCCAGAAGCCATGGAGATAACAAGTATGGCCTTTGTAGTAAACCAGACCAGAGATCCTCTGCCTGGTCAGGGGCTGCTCTTTAGCACCAGCCAGTTTGAGCCACATGGAAATACAGGCTAAGCATTGCCAGATGGCCAGAGTTTTCAGGGAAAGCTAGAGATACAGATTTCTATGTGAGTTTTCCTGATCTCTAAATATATACATCTGATTCAGATGTTTTAAAAAATAATGTCTTTGGGCCAGAGTTGAATCATATCCAACCAATACACAACCCTTGATTTACAGTAACAGTTCCCAAACTTTCTAGTGTCAGGATTGCTTACATTCTTAAAAATTATTGAGGCTCTGCCAGGTGCTAGTGGCTCACTCTTGTTATCCTCGCTACTCTGGAGGCAGAGATCAGGAGGATCGAAGTTCAGAGCCAGCCATGGCAAATAATTCATGAGACCCTATCTCAAAAATCCCATCACAGAAAAGGGCAGGTAGAGTGGCTCAAGGTATAGGCTCTGAGTTTAAGCCCCAGTACCGCAAAAAAAAAAAAAAAAAGTATTGAGGCTCTGAAAGAGTTTTGTTTATATAGGTTGTCTGTATTGATATTTGCCATATTAAAAATTCAAACTGGGTTTTTAAAATTTAAATAACATTACATGTTAGCATAAATAGCATATTTCTATGAAAAATTACCATCCAAAACAATAAAATAGAATAGCATTGCTTTACATTTTGAGAAAGAAGACAGTGGATTCCTATATCTGATTCTTTCATTTAGTCTGTTGTGGTACAATGGTGTCTGGTTGAAGTACATGAAGAAAATACAGCTTCACACTGATGTGTATTTGGAAAAGGAATGTTTAAGAGCCAAATTGAGAATATTGTTTGATGGTACACCAAAAAATTGTTATGTGACAGATTTATAGAGGTTAGTTGCAATAAGGACTCTAAAAACATAATTTTTCATTCTCCATTAAATTAAAACCTGTTGGTTTGTCTTATACTTTGAATGGAACATAAAACAATTTTGTACAGTTGTCATTGGCCATCTGGGAAATACTGGTTCATAGGTTATACAGTTCTAAATAATGACATATTCCATTATGTAAATATTTAAAAATCACATTCATTAATGCCATCATCTCATCAGAACAGTCTTTAAATATTGAAAAACTCCGCAGCTAAAGTGGCAGTTGTTTTCTACAATTCTAGTTTTTGCTTAAAGGCTCAGTTTTTTATCATGGGCAACAATTTGTAAATTGTTCTCTGTGAAGTGATAAATTTATTTATTCTTTTTTTTTTTTTTTAGGATTAATGTCTACCAGATACCAAAGTCTAAATACTCATAGTTTGTCTATCATTCATTATTTGATTCCATTGAGGAATGCTAGTTCAGTTCTCATCTCTTGTATAAATGCTTCTTCTTGGACAAACTCATTACTTCAGGGCTTACTTTCCATTCTTGGACACAGAATTTTAAAAAGACATATGGTCCAGAGGCATGGCTTAAGCAGCAGAGCACCTGCCTAGCAAGTTCAAACCTCAGTACCGCCAAAACAAATAAATAAATAAAAAGACACGTAAGCTGGTCACAGGTGGCTCATGCCTATAGTTGTAGCTACTTTGGAGGCTGAGATTGGGAAGATTTCAGTTTGAGACTCCATTTCCAAAATAACCAGAGCAAAATGGACTAGAGATGTGGCTCAAGTGGTAGAGCGCGTGCTTTGTAAACGTAAATCCCTGAGTTCAAAAGCTTAGTCTCACCACCAACAACAACAAAAAAACCAACCACATTATGGTCAAGATTAATAACTTAACCCTTCACTAAGGACATTCTTGAGTGAATTAGATTTTTTTCCTGCTAGTGGTGGCAGTGAAGAATACAATGATGACTAGTAGAATCATATGACTTTGCTTTGATTGATGCGGAGCCACCAGCAATTCTACCCCACTACGTTTGCACCATCAGTGCAGATGTCAACACAGTGAAAAAGACAAATTGTATGTTAGTATGATTGTGAAAATAGTTGTGGCCTCTCAGACCTCATGAAAGTGCCCTGGAATCTTCCAGGGCAGTATATAACACTTTAAAAATCAGTGCTTTGGAGGGATGAAAATGAGTGTCTCCATCCTTTGGCTTTTCAAAGAACAACAGTCAAGAAAAGTTGTGCTTTGTGGAAGGAAACAAAGATGAATTATCCACATAATGTGGACTAGGCTGCTTGTCCATCCCTGCAGTGTGTGAAGTTTTCATGAGCTGAGTTCCAGCCAGGCCTTGGGGGTGAGAAGTAAAAAGCGTTGTTGTAAGACCTGAGTGAAAGCCAGCAACATTTTGATAGAAACTGTGAGAAGGTGTTCTTGCTTCATTAGATCTGCCTTAATTATATGTTCTAAAAGGCAGTAGTGAATTTGCATGAATGGAGAATAGAATGATACTACACAAGATAGAAATTATACATCTACCCAGAGAGCATGAACACAGAATCTCAGAGATCTCAGTCTTTTTCTCTCTCTCTCTCTCCCTCCCTCTCCACCTTCTCTTTCTCCATCTTCTCTCTCTCCATCTTCTCTCCCTCCCCCTCTCCCCTTCTCCTCAGTGCTGGGATCACACCCCTGGTATCAAAAATAATCCTAAATTAAAAGGCAATCTATTTTATATGTGGTATTGGTGAAATTATGTACCTTAATCTAGAAAACCTAAACCTTTCACATGTTCCTTTGAATTTATCAGTATTTCAAATTTGTACCTCTTTTTTTATTCTTTTTAAGACAGAGCTTCTCAACCTAGGTACTACTGACATTTTGGGCCAGATAATTCTTGGCTTTGGGGGGCTGTCACTGCAGAATATTTAACACCATTGCTGTCAGCACCTTCCAAGTTATGACTACCAAAAATATGTGCAGATATTGCCAAATGTCCTCAGGGGCCAGTAAAATACAGGTTGGAACTTATCCTTTAAGGTGATCTAGATTAGTTTTTTTCTTAGTTAGCATTTGCCTCATCAGATTCTTAGCAGATCTGTAGAAAATATGATAGTTAAGTAGCACAAGCATTCATAAGCTACTCCCCTGCATCCTTGCCTTGTCCTTCCTTCTTATTCCTGTTGAACCTACTCATACTCATTTTTCATTCTCTATGCTTTTGTTGTCGTCATTCTTTAAGCAGTAAGAATATCAAGCTTTTATTAAATCAGATACTAAGTTTGAAAAATGTAAAAGTGCCACTTTTTTTACTAATTTTTTTGTGTGCAAAATGTTATGTATAAAACATGTAAGTAGTTTGCTATTGTTTTTAAGTGAATTAATATGCTTAGGGTTTCTCTGTTGTAATTTCTAATGTGGCAAATATCAGTACCAATAATCTACATAAACACAAGATCCTTGGGGCTTCAGTAATTTTTAAGAAGGTAAAGGGTATACATAAGTCAAAAAAAGTATGAAAACCACTGATCTACAAGATTCTATATGTATACCATTTTCCCCAGAATTTGGCACATAAGCACTCAGTCAGAAGTAGTAGCAGTGAATATGTAGTAGGAGTTAGGGGAGTGGTAAGACTGAAAACATAGTTTGGGCCTAGATTGTGAAGGGCCATCAGTACCATTCTTTTTAATTGTGGGAAGGCACATACAACATAAAACTTACCATTCGTGACATTTAGTATGTTCACAATGTTGTACAACCATCACCATGACCTACTTTTAGAACATTTCTGAATCTCCATGCTTTTTACCATGGGCTCTCTTTTCACCTTGTCCGTCCCTTCCTGCCTTCACTTAATCCTCTTCAGTGATGTCCTGCATGATTTGTCAGGTTAGCCAGATCTTTGCTGCCATGCTAGAGACTTTAACCTCGTTGGCCCTCATTCAGCAATTGCTAAATTCCTGTCAGAAGCCTCTCTTTGTCCAGCAAGTTTACTAATTTGTATTTACTGTTTCAAATACAGGATAGTAAAGGGGTTAGTTGCCCCTTTGTGCCTCAGATGAGATGAGATAGTTCTGATTAGAGGTTATCATTGCACATGTCCAAACTGGAAAACAAGATGTGGCTGGATATCATCAAGGGCCTACTGTTTTTGCCCCAGAAGAGATGAACACTTAATTTCTTGGATTCTGTCATCTAGCCATGGCAAAGACCATTCCCCTCTATATCTAAGTGAGCTGCACCAACTAGGGGTACAACTACTTGAGCATTCAAAAATATCACCACCCTTGGCAGAGGGTTTAGAACTACATGGTGGTTTTTGCATATTGTTTTAGGTGGTATTGGAAGAGGGAATAAGAAAATAGCAAAGGACCCTTAAATTGTCTCAATGTTCTAATACTTTTATTTCATATGACTCTTTAAGTATTGCTTGGCTCCAGGTAAGAGTTGTTACTCTTTCTGGCAGTTCCTAAGGCAGTTCTCTGTTATTGTGTCCTCATTCTCCAAGTGGGCAGAAGAATTACAAAAGATGTTTTTTTCCACCATGTTTATCTTAGAGCCAAAGCCAATGGCTTGGTCAGTAGAGCAAGGGCTGGACATTATCCACTTTCTGGTCCTTAGCCAGACCTTTTTTACAGGACACAGCAGCCTTGGAAGAGCTGTCTGGCTAGCTCTTCTCCCCTCTCCATTCTAGTTACTGCTGACAGATTACTTTGTTCCAAGATCAGCAGTTCTATGCTCCTTTTATGCCTGCAGAATAAATAAAAACTATTACAGTAGCTTGAAAAAAGCTAAAAGACCTTTGTCTTTGTCACTTATAGGAAGGATGTTTTCATGCTTTGCTCCCCTCTGACCACCTCCCCATTGTTTCTTAAAATCCTCTTATCCTGTTGTCTGCTACACTCTATCTTGTAGTATATTTTGGAATTATAAGTTCTGAAAGTAGTGAATTTTGGTCATCTTTAGGCCCTCTCACAACCTAGTGCAGTGCCTTCCATTTGTGAGTCTCCAGTCACTGTGTATGGAATAGCCAACTCTCCATTTCTCCTGGTGTGCACTTTCTGATGATGGGAGTTGTGACCTGTTTGCCATCAAGGTAGAGCATGACCTACAGAGTGAGAATGCAGCTACATTCTGTACAATTTGGGAAAGTCCTTCAGTCTCTCCAAGCCTCAGGTTCTTGCTCTGAGTAGGGATAATAATTATACCTATCACAGGGAGTGACTGAGAATTTAATGAATTAATGCATGCAAAATGCCTGTCACATAAGCTGAACTCCAGTGATAGCTACTGTCCTAATAATAATGAAAAAAATTAATGTTGTTATCATCATCTAGGTTACTAGTGCTAAAGTCTAGTCAAAAGGTGAATGTTAGACCATAAGGAAGTCTGAATCTACTGTCTAGTCCTGTTTTGTTTGGATTTGTTTAAGACTAAATCAGTAAATCCTTTCTGACTTAATAAAGTTAAAAATACGCATTTTATATTGAAGTTACAAATTTCCCTGTCTGAACATAAATGCTAAGCTTACCTGCTCCCTGATAGGTTATGAATATTCTGTCTGACAAACATTTTTTCCCCTCTGCAGATCTGGTGTTGGTCCTGCCACAATGGAAGTGCCCTTTTGAAAATGTCAGCACTGCCCAAAGAACAGGATGATGGCATTTTGCAAATCCAGAAGAGCTTCTTGGATGGGTCAGTATTCATTCTACATTTTGTTCTTGTTTAATTCAGTTCTTACTTTCTAAGAAGCAGAGAATAGTTCTTAGAGGTATGTCCATTTCTGTTTGCCTAGTGGTAGCTTAGTGCTAGAGAAGTACAAATTATAGTAGTCATTGTAACTACTTTGAAAGGAATCAGTATAACATGATCATTAAGAATGTCAGCCATTTTTATTAATGCATGCTGAAGTATTTAGGGAGGAAGTGTGTGATATCTGTTGTAGTTAACGACTGTTTCAAATTCAGGTCATGGCATATGTCATGTTTTCTGCTTTTCTACATGTTAGAAATTTTTCAAAAAATTTTAAAAATCCAAAGTGGATAAGTTAAAAAGAACAAAAAGTAGTACACTTTGGAGTTAAATTGTCTTGGCCCAAATCATGGCTCTGTCAGTTTAGAAACTTGTTAAGCTTGGGCTGGGCAGTTCTCCTCTGACCTCCATTTCCTGCAGCAGTTCCTAGGTGAGTTAAATGGGAGGATACCTGCAGGGCTCTTGGCACAGATTATGGAAAAATGAGCTATTTTAAGTTCATGTTTGCTCTTCTAATCTTGTGTTACATTTTGATACCTAGAATTTACAAGACCATCCACAGGCCACCCTATGAAATTGTTAAAACTGAAGACCTATCAAGCAACTTCCTATCCCTGCAGGAGATCCAGACTGCGTACTGTAAATTTAAGCAGCTCTTCCTAATAGGTAAGAAGAATGCTGAGCAAAGTCTCTCTGTCACAGGGAAAGACGTGCCACAAGGATCAGGTGAAAATTGGTGTCTTTCGCTGTGTTTCCTGTGATGGTAATGCATGGCGCATAGCCTCCAGGGTCACTGTCATGCAGTGGAAGGGCCAGTGGGCATGGGCAGCTACAATTGCTATGCTGCCCCTCTCTGTCTCTTTCCAGGCTTTTCCCCCATGGCCTCCTCCTTGTGACTATGGTCACACAGCCATCTTTTTCTTTTCTTCTTTCCCAATATACCACGCCACCCAGTGGTAAGCATTTTGGCTTCTACGTTTTTGAACCATGCAATAATACCTATAGTCACTGACTTCCTTAATTTTTATGGTTTGCTTGTTTTCCTTAATGGACTTTTTTCCCAAAGTGGAAATACCTTAATTTTCTTACTGATTAGACATGTAGAGTTTCTTACAATGGAAAATAATTCAATTAATCAGAAATGTGCAAAGTAGAAAATGAAATATACCCATTCCAGCCCCCCTTCCCTACCCTCATGCCTGCTAGTAACAATTTAGAACTTATTGAATTGAATCATGCTGAAATACCTGTTGGTTCTTCCCATTCTTGAATGAGTCTTTACTCTTTGAGGTCTGTTCTTTTTATAGGTAACTTTTCCTAACTTAGGCTTTTTAACCTAGCAAATTCTTAACTATTTTAAGATTTGGTAAACTGACATTTATTGAATTTTCATTGTATATACTAACTATGCCAGGCATTGGTGATAAAAATGAATATGACGCAAAAAGCTAGATTCTTGCAGTGTATGCCTTTAAAACATGTAATGATGTGTGTTATAAAATAGTTTTATAAGAAGTAGGGACCTGGAGGGAAGGTAATCTTACTGTTTGATCCAGGACTGTCATTCCACAATTATGTTTTATTTTAATTACCCAACATTTCCAGGTATGTCTTCCTTTTGTTGATCTAGGCTTGAGTTTGCTTTTTGCTTTTTTTTTTTATTTTGAGATGAGATTTCACTCTGTTGCCCAGGCTGGTCTTAAACTCCTGAACTCAAGTATTCCTCCCACCTCAGCCTCCTGAGTAACTGGAACTACAAATGTGTACCATTGCACCTGGCTAGATTTCAACTTTAAATGCACTAGATTTCTATACGTTTCAAGATTCGCTGTTTTACAAAATGTATGAGGAGGAATCCTATAGTAGTGTTCAGGGTACATGAACTCATATATTTATGATTCTAACAAAGCCAGGTATGGTGACATGCCTGTAATTCTCAGGAAGCTAAGGTAGGAGTACTGTGAGTTGGAGGCTAGCCTAGCCTACATAGAGAGACCTGTCTCAAAAATAAATGAATGAATGAACAAATAAGTAAATTAAGTAAGTAAATAAATAAATAAATATAAAAATTAACAAAATTCAATCTCATCCTTAAGCTTATATGGCAGGATATATCTGGCTGCATTTACTCTTTCTACTAATAGCAGCCTTGATGTTGTCTGTTTCTTGTTAAAGCACATTACTATCTTTGTTGAATTGCAGAGCAGACTGTGACTTTGTGTTATATGTTATAGGTACTTCTTATTTCAGTAATAAAGACCTCTCTTTTTTCTATTTTTGGTGGGACTGGAGTTTGAAATCACGGCTTCACACTTGTAAAGCAGTGGAGCCACATCTCCAACTCTGATTATTTTAGATGGAGACTCCTGAACTATTTGCCCTGGCTGGCCTCATACCATGATTCTCCCAAGTAGCTAAGATTACAGGCGTGAGCCACCGGCACTTGGCTAAAACCTCTTTTTGACTACCATACCCTTTTAGAGGCTTACATGTCAAAAACCATTTCAGCTAAAGTTTTGAAATGTCCTTTACTTAAAATGGAGTCTTGTGCCTGAATTCTGCAGGTTGAGTCTGAGTCTGATCTGCACTGCCCAGTGGAGTTGCATAGGTGTTGTATGGCAGGGGTGCCAGTGAACAATGATATGACGTCTTTCCTCTTTTTCCTGTTTTCAGATAACAGTACTGAATTTTGGGATACAGATATAAAATGGTTTTCTCTCTTAGAAAGTAGCAGCTGGCTTGACATAATCAGGTATTTTAAACCATTGTTTTGCTTATAAATTTTATAGTTGTCTGATTCAGAGCAGTACAGCAAATTAACACATTGAACTTTTTTTTATTAGCATAGATTAGTTGTCCAGGAGATACATTGTGATATTTACATTTGTGCTTAAAATACATCTTAAATTTCCCCCACTCCATCATGCTCCTTCATCCTCCTCCCCCTTTCTTATAACAATTTCTACAGGTTTTATTCTTCTATCTTCATATATGAATATAAAATACAGCCACCATATTCATACTCATTCACCCTTTCCTTATGCTCACCCCCTCCTACTAGCACCCCCTACCCCCCAAAAAAAGACCTATTTTACCCTCCTGCTCTTCATTTTTTAAAAAGTGTTTATTGATCATTCAAGAGGGTTTTGCCTTGGTACTTCAGGCCTGTATATATCAAATTAACCATCACTACCCCATTACTTACTCTTTCTCTGTCACCATGCTTCCCTATTATTCAACAGTTTACAGTGTAGTACATTATATTTTATTCATAAAATAGATAGGTTGTTTCAATATTTTGAAACATTCTCTTAACATTTTTTCCCTCTCCTACCTCCCATAGTCCTCTCACTAATACAGCTTTGTTTTCTCTCATTATATATATGTATATACATATACGTACATATAATCATATATGTGTTTATATATGCATTTAACTTACAGGTCTAGCTTCCACATAGGAGTGAAAACATGTGACCTTTGACTTTCTGGGTTTTTTGGGGGGTGTCGGGTGGTACTGGATTTGAGCTCAGGGCCTCGCACTTGCTAGGCAGGTGCTCTACCACTTGAGCCACTCCGCAAACCCTTTTTTGTGTTGGGTATTTTTGAGATAGGGTCTCACAAACTATTTACCCAACCTGGTTCAAACCATGATCCTCCTGATCTCTGCCTCCTGAGTAGCTAGGATTACAGGCGTGAGCCACTGGTACCTGGCCATGACCTTTGACTTTTTGAGCCTGACTTACTTCAGAATTAAATATTCTTAGATCTTATATTCTATTCAGGCTCAGCTGAATTTACATTTGTTTTTTGCTATTTCTTTGTACATTTGTTAGGAATTTGCCAGCATACTACCTGCTTACAAGAAAATGTACTCTGTACAGAAAATGTTGTGACAACCCCAGACTATAATTGAGGCAGCATTGCTGGCCTCCAAGAGGAAACAGGAATGAGAGTGGGAGTGATCTGACTTCACTGAACACCTTTTTGAATTTTGTGTCAACATGTATATTACCTATTCAAATTTTTAAAAAAATCTTGAGTAATGTCATCGAGTCATTTTTGGTTTGGAAGTTAGGTTAAGACCCCAGAGAACAGTTAAATTGCCTTTCCTTACTCAGATATTGGATAGCTTCCCTGTGTTGCCATTAAATAGAGGATATGACAGGCAGGAAATTGAAATGATGATCATGGGTGAGAAAATAGCTCAGACCTAGGCCATATATGAGGAAAGAGAGGAATGCTTTTCCACTTTGTTTATTTTGATAAAGGGTCTAGCTATGTAGGCTAGGTTGGCCTGGAACTTGAGATTTTCCAGCCTCATCCTTCCAAGTACTGGGAATGGTAGGCATGCACTACCATACCTAACCTCTCTCTCAGCTCTGAGTGAGCACAGTGGGAAGGGGTCTCTGCCTTTCAGACACTCAGCAGCTAGTCAAGAGCTTACTCCATGTTCCATCATTTGAATTTATAATTGTGAACAGTGATACAGTGATACATGTTATAAAAGAAAAGAACACTTCCTTTTGCAGAGTGGCCAGGAAAGAGTGAGCATTCCTTTATCTGCTTAAGATGAAGTGTCAGGGTATGGGAGTGAGAGTGGCTTGGAAGGACAGGAATGGGAGAGAGAGGGTACCACTGCCAGCCAAGGATGATGCCATAATCGCAAAGGAGTAACTTGTGTAGAGAGAGATAAAAAAGATTTCTAAACAGATTGGATCTTTTTAGCCATACCAGTATATTTGGCTGACCACCTTGAATAAAATAATATGGATGTGCATCACACTTTCCTGGAGTGAGTAGTTGTGGGTCTTACTAAGACTCATCAATAGACTCAGGTGTGAGGTTTATTCTAAGAATTTCTAGATTTAAAGCACCTAGGAGCATTTCTACATCAATTTTGTAGTTCCCCTCTGAAAATTCTCAGTTCCTAATTTTTTAAAATGTTTAATTGATAAAGATTTTATATATTCAAGTTACATAATGTATGTGGCACTAGGAATGGAACCCAAGGCCTCATGATGCTAAACAAGCCTTCTACCATGGAGCTATACCCTCACAAGGTACCAAGATGATGATCTAATGTACGTGCACATTGTATGCTGATTGCCACAACCAACAGTCCATCACCATCTGTGCTGTACCTTAGTTCCCTCAAACTTATGCATCTTATAACTGAATATTTTACCATTTAATCAATATTTTTGCACTTTCTTTACCCACTATTGTTTGGGAATCACCATTCTACTCTTTGTTGGTATGAGAGTTTGACATTTTTAGTCTCCAAGTTCATCCATATTGATGCAGTAGTAAAATTTTCTTCCTCTTTATTGCTGAATAATATTTTATTACACCATAACCCTCCCCCCCCCACACACACACATTCGTCCATGAACTCTCAGGTTGTTTCTGTATCTTGGCTGTTGTGAACAATGCCACAGTGCACATGGGAGTGTGCCTGAGATGATGATTTTACCACTTGGAATATATATACATACACCCAGTCTATTTCTAATAGGCAAATAAGTATCTCTTGGTATCTGAATGGTACAAATGGTAATTAATTTCTTTTCTGGAGGATTTTAGCATGAAATAACAAAAAGAAAACTGAAGAACAGTTGAGACCACCTTATAGTTTAAATTGTTTTCTTGGGGTGGTACTGGGGTTTGAACTAAGGGCCTCATGCTTGCAAGGCAGGCACTATGCTGCTGGAGCCACTCCACCAGCTCTTTTTTGTGTTGAGTATTTTCGAGAGAGTGTCTCTTGAACTATTTGCCCCAGGTGGATTAAATCCCTGATCTTCCTGATATCTGTCTCTCAAGTAGCTGAGACTATGGGCATGAGCCACCTGTGCCCAGAAAAGTTCCTATTGTTTATAGTACCAAGCTTAAGAACTAATGTCCTTTTTCTTATCTCTTCCTACTTAGACGTTGCCTGAAAAAAGCAATAGAGATTACAGAATGTCTCGAAGCACAAAACATGAATGTTCTTCTTTTAGGTAAGATGTTTAAAGCACAAAGGAACACATTGTCAGAAGGATAAAATTAGTTAGCATTTTCATAATATTAAAAAGTTTGATCCTCAGCACCAAAAAGAAAAAAAAATCTCGTCAGACCAAGATTGAATATAATTTTTAAAAATGATTGTATTCCTGAAGGCATTTTTAAAATTTATCACAGATCATCTGGGCTGGTTACTTTATCTTCATCCAAAGTTTTATGGGTATAATTAAACTTGTAGCAGTAAGAGATGCATAGATAAGCAGAAATATGAGTTTGTACCTTTAAAAAAATAAAGCACAAAGGATAGTTCCATTTTCTTTCATTGAGATTCTCAATTTTTGTATTTGTAGCTATTGGAATTTAAATTATGTTATAAAAGGAGTGAACTGGTGTTGAAATCCTCTCCATTTCTTTCTCCTTAACTTTGGAATCCCTTGCCTTGGATTTCAGTATTACAGTTTAAAATAAAATTCTTTCACTTGGAAGTTGGTAGACCTATTCATAGCCTAATAAGGAATTGTTTGGAATCTTTACTAAAGCTCACATTTCTTAATGTTTTGGATTTTTTAAACTCTATTCGTTATAATCTTTTGATAATCCCTTTTACTTAAAGAGATTCATGGGTGATTTAATTGTTATTTTTATGTCTGTGTTTTTGACAACTTTATACAGTAGCTGTAGTAATTCCCTTCTTCACAGTGAGCAAAATTTGGTATACATGAGGGCAGTGACATAAACATTCAAAAAGCGTGTAAACGCAAGCATGAGCTCTCATACAACAAACAATTGTTGCTGCAGCTGGTTAGATATACCTGCTTTGCAGACATTTATTTATTGATTTGTTTTTTTTTTAAAGGAGATGGGGTCTCACTATGTTGCCTAGGCTGGCCTTCCGCTCGTGGGCTCAGGTGATCCTCCTGCCTCAGCCTTCCAAGTATGTGGGACTACAGATCCATGCCACTGTACCCAGTTTGCTTTTTGAGTTGTTTAGGTTTCTTATAGCCCATACTACAAATTAAGTAGATCGTCTCATACTTTTATAGTCATAGGCATTTTATCATTTCTGTGATGGCTTCCTTCACTGTTGGGACTTAGTTTCCAACTGGAAAATGTGGCTTCCACATGATCTGATGCTGGCTCACTGACTTAGAATTGAATACACTTACTGAGCTCCTACCATTGCTGAAAACTCTCTGCTGCCTCCTAGTCATTTGCAGCCTAACAGGAGAGTTGCCCTAAGAGTGTTATGATGAGCTGGGCATGATAGTGCATACCTGTGCACTTGAGGGTAGGGAGCTAATGCAAAAGGATTGTGAGTTTGAGGCCAACCTAGGCTATGTAGCAAGATCCTGTTTCAAAAAAGAAAGCCAGGCGCAATGGTTCAAGCCTGTAGTCCTAGCCACAAAGGAGGCAGAGATTGGGAGAATTGTGGTTTGAGGCCAGTCTGGGCAAAAAGTTTGAGAGACCACGTTTCAGTCATTGACTGGACATGGTCTGTGTGACATACACCTGTTACTTCTAACAATGTGGGAGAGCACAAATAGGAGATCATGGTCCAGGCCAGACTAGGCATAAAGTGAGACCCTGTCTCAAAATAACCAAAGCAGAAATGACTGGGAGCATGGCTCAAGGGGTAGAGTGCCTGCCTAGTAAACATAAGGCCTTGAGTTCAAACATCAGCAATGCAAAAAAAAAAAGTGTTGAACCTCACTTTATAGCCTAGACTGGTCTCAAACTCACAATCCTCCTGCCTCAGCTTCCCAAGTGCTGGATTTACAGGTGTGCTCTATCTCTATAATCCTGTATGCTAGTTCCATCTGGCATAAAAGAGTGTTATTTCTAAAAAGAACATTATTTGAGTGCTGAGTAACTGGTGAGAAGAGGAGGGATGGAGATTAAAGGTCTGACAGTTGCATAAAGTGAAATGCAGGTCTTTGACGAGTGGGAGTGGGATGGATGTTCCATACTCCTTAGTAGATTCTGATTCTCCTCTCCAATCTCGTTTTCTAGTCCCTCCTCCTACCCCCCAAAGATAATTATTAACCTTCAGATACAAAAAGGAAGAGTCCCTTCAAAATGAAACTTGTTTTGAACAATGACTGTACTACAGCTAAACATAAAAATCTGCCTTGATGAAACCCATGTAGCTGGTTTCCCAGAGTGAATGAGTATAAGCCTGGACCTATATGTCATGCATGTGATTCCAGGGCTCAGGCTGAGAGAGTTCCAACAGTGTGAGCACTTCCCTAGTTAAAGTTCATTTTTCACTTTCTCTAACCCTGCTGGTACAATCCTTGCAGACATTTTTTAAATTTTTTCTTTTATTCATATGTGCATACATATGAATGCCCACCCCCTTACTACCAGGCAGAAACTGTTTTGCCCTTATCTCTAATTTTGTTGAAGAGAGAGTACAAGCAATAATAGGAAGGACCAAGGGTTTTTGCTAGTTGAGATAAGGATAGCTATACAGGGAGTTGACTTGCATTGCTTTCCTGCTTGCAGACATTTTTTAAGAGCAACTTGGGTTGCACTTTTTTTTGTTTTGTTTTGTTTTTAATGAAGAGGAAACCAAACATAGACCCTTAGCTTTTAGGATCTTAAAACTAAGGCAATTGAGTGTGGTGGTATACAGTTGTAATCCCAGAAACTCAGGAGACAGAGGCAGGAAGATCATGAGTTTGAGGCCAAGGCAATGTTATTGAGACTCTGTCTCAAAAACAAGATAAAAATGAAAGGGCTGAAGGCATAGCTCAAGAGACTAGCGGTTCAATCCCAGTACCATAAAACAACCAGCCAACCACAAAAACAATAACCCAAAAAACCACAACAGCAAAAACCCTCTAAGACAAATGCGTGGCTGTAGATGTGTGTTTTTATTTTCTTTGTCATGAGTGTTAATCAAGTAGATAGACGGGCTTTTACAACGGAGGCTTTGTGAAGTGCTTTCCAGGTGGGAATGTGAAAGCAGACCAAGGAAAATTTCTCCTCTAGGCTAGGCAAGGAGAAACTGGAGCCTTTGTTTTCATGCTCCTCAAACAGAAACAATAGAAAGCTCCTCAGAGCTGAGAAGAAGATGGGTTTGGTGCAGGGCAGAAATAAACTTTCTGCAAAGAGAGTTAGTGAAGGATTGTGAGTAGAGGAGAGGAGCTCCGAGTTGATTCTGAGATGCAGCAGAGTCTTGGAATGGTGAGTTCAGGGACTGAGGCTAGGTTACCCCAGGGGGAGGGGTGGAGGAATTTCGACTTGTCTGCAGCTTGCAGGTCAACATTATGTGAGCGGTTCCACTCTCCTGTGGCACATCTGGATGCCCATGTGCTGAAAGTACATTTTCAATGCTGCACTTATTTAGTAAGCAATCCATGCTTAGCACCATCGTGTGCCAGAGCCCATCCTAGATAGGCTAGGAGCAGTTTGTCTTGGTTTAAAACATTATCTTTGTTTTTTTTCCATTGGTCCTTGCCTGTAGAGAATAAAAGCTTAGTAACTGATCTTGGTGTTGAGAAGGCTACTTTTAACTGTGTGAGTGAAGGCACCACACCTTTTTAATATTTTCTGCACTCCTTCCTTTTGGCATTGCTGCTGGGGCCCTCCTAGAGGAGAATGCCTCCGACCTCTGCTGTCTCCTTTCCTCTCTGGTACAAGTGATGATGGACCCCCACAGTCGAACCAGGACTGGTTTCCAGAGCCTCATCCAAAAGGAGTGGGTGATGGGTGGCCACTGTTTCTTGGATCGCTGCAACCATCTCCACCAGAGTGACAAAGAGGAGGTGAGTTCCCTCACTGCAGGCTGTTCTAGTCTGGGGAAAACTACTCAGTCTCTTTTTCCTTTTTTTTTTATAAAACTTTTTTATTATGCTATATTAGTTATACAATGGGGATACATAGTGACAATTCTGATTAGGCTTATATTGTACATTAGTTATATCACCTCCATTGTTTCTCCCCCTCAGCTCCCTCCCTGCCCCACTTAAAGCAATTTCACAAGAAGTTTCTTTGTTCTTTTTTATGGAGGTATATGAAGTCCATCAACCATATACCCTCACCTTAATCTCCTTCATTCACCCTCCCCTACATAGTCTCTTATCTAGTTCATGTCCTTAGATATAGGGTTTCCTGCTTGCAAAGTGCATGCTGTAGACCTGTATCAGCCTGGTTTTGAGTCTGACTCATTGAGTTTGACTTTGAATGCTTTAAACAATATTAAAACGCTTTCCAGGGGAAAAAGGTATCAACAAGAATGTACAGTCTTCTAAGCTGTGTACACTAGGGGTATACATATATTTCATAGTGTAAGTAGCACTGATTTTGTAACACTTAAATATAAAATAACCCAGTGACAGAGACTTTTATAAATTCTGGATTATCTTTCCAATAAGTGGATATTCAGGCTGCACATTTCCTACAGAAAATACATGATAATACCAAGTAAATTTTCCTTGCACATAAATCTTTTCTAACAAAAGCATGGATTGTATTAAAACTGTCCATTGTCAGTGTCCACACGTTGATGTGTATGGGATGTGCCATAGCCACTTTTGGGCCTTGCTGTGTTGTCCCAGCTGGCCTTGAACTCGTAATCCTCCTGACTTAGACTCCCAAGTAGCTGAGATTCCAGGCATGTGCTACCATGCCTGGCTTTTTTCTGTCTAGATGAATGGCTTCAGCCCTGGACCTCTGAGATCAGGCAGAAAAGAATTACCATTGTAGTTCACCTCCAAATTTTGGTACACTTGTCTAGGAGACAGTTACACAAACTCCTTTTGGCTGCCTCATTAATGACTAGTGGAAAGAAAATGAAAATGGACTCACTTTCTTTAATTAAATCACCTTTACAGCTAACATGTGCTAGTAGTGCAACTTGTGGTTTTTCTTATTCCAGGTAATAGGCATGTCTGTGTGGTGCAAACAACTTGGTACAACATGCCATGAGAATAGAGAGCTGTGGCTTCTGCTCATCACAATTTGGCAGGTTCCTGGGGAAATCCAGACCTAGGCCAGCTGGATTCTTTTAGGTCTAGACTATACTTCTCTGTGTGCCATTGAGCTGAGGAGAAATCACTATCTTTCAGCCTTGGACGGGACTTAGAGGAAGTAATTTGAAAGGCAATGAGAATCAAGTAGCATGATAGGGAGAGAGAGGTGATACTGCATAATGAAGAGTGAGAAAAAGGGACTGAAAGGCACGCCATCTCATGGGGAAAGAGGCCAAGACAAGACCTATTTACCCAGCCCTTGGAGAGTCACTCACATTTTCTGAGCCCATTTCTCTGACTATGCAATAAGGTTCATATATTTTACATTCTGTTTAATGGTATTGCACATAAAATGATATTCAAAACAAACTCAGAGTGTGAATTGTTTTTAGCATGTCAACACTGACTTATTGGAGTTTTGAAGGAGATTTTGGTGGTCTAATTTTTATATGATGAAGCAGAACTAGTCCTATAAGAACTTGAATTCCCTCTCTTACCACGTGAGACCTCAACCAGCCTCTCAGCATCACTATCCTTCTCGAGGGAGATATTGTCACATAGCTTGTCTTACCACCTGGCAGGATCACAAGTGAATCAGAAGGAGAAGCTTTGGAAGTGATAACACACCCTAGAAACAACTGTCTCTACTAGTAAAGGGCTTGCTTCTGGGTGGCTAATAAAGGGGGCATGTCAAGTGAAAACACATTTGTGAGCTGGGCACCGGTGGCTTATGCCTGTAATCCTAGCTACCAGGAGGCAGAGAGCAGGAGGATTGTGGTTCTAAGCCAGCCCAGGCAAATAGTTCATGAGACCCTATCTCAAAAAAAAAAGAAAATCACAAAAAATGGCTGATGGAGTGGCTTAAGGTGTAGGCCCTGAGTTCAAACCCCAGTGCCAAAAAAAAAAAAGCATGTTTGTGAAAAATATGCTAGGAACTCATTACTTCTTTTGCTTTCTCCTCCCACCCCCGCTTTGTCTTTGGGGCCCTCACCAGGGGAGTGGAGAAGGGAGGCTTCTCACCCCAGCTTAGTTTCCTGTGACTATTGGTTCACAGGTGGGCAGGCACTGCCATATCCATGCCACTCACACACAGTTGACAAAGATCAAAATAACAGTCGTCGTTGAGTACAGTTTTTTGCAAGACAGCACTACTTCTAAGGAAAAAAGAATTCTTTTGGGGGGAGACACCTCTCCTAATTGGGGTTCAAAGTTAGTGTTCTCTGTCATCAAAATTAATTGCGAATACTCATCTGTGAATGTTGATTTGTTAGTGAGATTTTACGTATTTCTTCTTTGTAATGTCTTTGACACAGACAGGCACTTCCAAGTACTTCATGTTAATCCATGAGCTTATGGTCTCAGTTGAGCATGTAAAACTCATTTATCACTTGGAATGGGATTGATTGAGCTTCCTATGTTTCCCAGAGGAAAAACAAACTCAGAAATAGCTATTTCACAGTTCCTGAGATGGCTGTCCACTGAGCTTGGGGCAGCTTATGCCTGCTAAGTAACATGAATCTTATTTTCACGTAGGTTCCTGTGTTCCTGCTTTTCTTAGATTGTGTCTGGCAGCTGGTGCACCAGCATTCTCCAGCATTTGAATTCACGGAGACTTACCTGACTGTCTTGTCAGATAGCCTGTATATACCTATTTTTAGCACCTTCTTCTTCAATTCACCTCATCAAAAAGATACTAACACGGTAAGAGTCCCTCTTAGAAATCTGTGTACCGAAGAAGCTGCATCTTGCAAATAGGATGCAGTAACATCCAGACTAAAAATGACACTTATTTAACATGGCCTGTATACCGTGTTTTAGGTGCTTTCCTAATACCTGGAACGTTATTTAATCCTTACAGCACCCCATGGGTTGTATATTATTATCCCTAAGGAAGCTGAGGCACAGACTTAAATAATCAGTCCAACATCTCATTGTAAAATATTTGTACTAGAAGCAAGTATTGAAGTTGGAGGATTGAGCCCAATTAAAAGCTGTCCTTTTATAAGACAGACCAGATGTCCTTCCTTTCTTGCATTAGTGTGATTCCTGGAGTTTCTCTGTGATGAGAAGGGCCTCCAGAGGAACAGGAAAGCTAGGCTTTGACTTTGTCTGTGATGGCCTGTGCTTCAGGGGTTAACTTCCAAAGCTGATCTCAGTGCTTCCCATCAGCCTTCTGCTTCTGGGCCTGCTTGAGTTGGTAAGATCATCAAATCCCGCAGTAAAGTGGGAACAACTGAACCTGGGCTTCTTGGAGTCATATAGCCTTGGTTTCACACTCCAGCCCCTGCAACTCATTAGCATTGTGACGTTAGGCAGTTCATTTCAGTTTTCTGAGCCTCATTTTCATCTAGTTTAAAATTGGAAAAGCATTGGTTACCTCAGAAGGTTGTGAAAGTGTCCAGCCAGTGGCTGCAAGTGGTCCACTGAAAATGAGCATCCTTTCTCTCACCTTCCTTCCCCACCAAGAGCATTTAGTGAATAACAACTGATAGCCTCAGTCTTGGAAAATGAAGTGCCAGTGAGCATTCAGTCTTAGGCAGGGCGGAAGCACTCTTCCTGGTGCCTGTTTCTGAGAATATGTGTTTGCTTTTCCCAGCCTTCCTTGGAAGCCATAGTGACCTGTGCTTGTTTTGGCAGGGTAGGGAAAGCTCGGATACACAAAGCAAGCCTTTGAATCTGCTCTCCGTGTGGGACTGGTCTGTGCAGTTTGAACCCAAAGCCCAGACATTGCTCAGAAACCCTCTGTATGTGGAAAAGCCAAAATTGGACAAAGGCCCGCGGAAAGGAATGCGTTTCAAAGTAAGATGTTCATGTCTAAACCACCTTCGTCTGCCCCATTTTCCCCATGTGTATAAAGGTAAAAGTTACATATGAATTCTGAAAGACTGTGTAAAGAGTTGCCATTTGTGATGGGCAAGTTGTTGAGACGCGTTAGGAGAATCCTTTACTTTCAGCAAATCAGCTTTGCCCTGAGAAGATACGGCTGTTTACTTGAGTGTCAGTGAGGATGCTGTTGCTGTAGTCACATTGTGTGGAGTCAGACCTCTGAACTTACCTTTGTGTGTGGTTAGCATAATAAAAGGGACATTGGTCTGTGGGATTTACTCAGCAGATGCTAGTTCATGTGTTACATAGACTTTTCTTTTTTGGTGGTGCTGCGGTTTGAACTCAGGGCCTCATGCTTGCTAGGCAGGTGCTCTACCACTTGAGCTCACTTCTTAATGAGCATACCTATAATCCAGGAGTTAGCAAACTTTTTCTGTCAAGGGCTGTACTTGGCAACTATGCATTGTACTGTTGAGGCACAAAAGTGGCCCTGGACAGTGCACAAACAAACAGACATGATTGCAGTATTTACAGAATCAGGTGCTGCCCAGGACTGTCGTTGTGAAACCATGCTCTAAACCACATATGTCACAGCTTTACTTTCCTTTCAGATATTTGTTCCCGATTTTACTAAGTTATTGCACCCCAAAGTTCCCTGACTGATACATAATTTAAACAGCATTTCCTAGCTCTGTCTCCTGGCCTGGAATCTCTCGCCAACAGGGACCACAAAGTAGGGGAAAGTGATGATAAATCCAAGCCAGTGCATGTCACCATCTTCTCTACCATTATCCTTCCATCCTGCTGATCTCAAGGGGCTCCAGAGAACCTGATCAGTCTGGGACAGGAGCTACCTCCTTCTATTTTAAAGAGGATTGGGAATGTAGATAAGCCAAAACCAGCACTCAGAGATAAGGTCAGTTGCTGAGAGACTTAGAACTGCTACTTCACCCTCTTAGCTGTCATTAGGCCCAGGGTGAATGTTTCCCTTTTCTCGTTCAACTTCTGTTAGTTTGACCAGAATTGCTGAGCCCCTGAACAAGTTGGCCAGCTATCAGCTTTTCCTCAGTGTGTTGTGCCCCCTTGTGGCTGCCTGCACACTTCTCTTGAGAGCTAGGCTAGAATCAAAGAACTACCCATACATGTGGGGCAGGGACCTCGGAGATACCCAGGCCTCCTCCTCATTTGACAGGACAAAACTTAGGTTCTTCCTTCTCAGAATGGACTTTCATTTCTCTCCTTAGATACAGTTTTTCTAGTTGTCTCTTCTTATAGTTAGTGGCAGATGCTGTTGGTGCTAAGAGATGAGCCAAAGGATTTCAGGTTGTACTAGATAAAGCAGAGTTGAGACTGGGCAACAAGGAACTTTGAAGCCTTGGTAAGAAATCAGAAATCCAGATGCCAGGGGCTGGTGCAGTGGTTCAAGCGGCAAGAGTACTCAAGCATGAGGCCCTGAGTTCAAATCCCAGTGACGCCGAAAAAAAAAGAACTTTTCTGGGCACCAGTGGCTCACTCCTATAATCCTAGGTACTCAGGAGGAGGATCTTGGTTTGAAGCCAAGGCAAATAGTTGGAGAGACCCTATCTCGAAAAAAACCCATCACCAAAAACGGCTTGTGGAGTGACTTAAGGTATAGGCCCTGAGTTCAAACCCTAGTACCACAAAAAAAAAAAAAAAAGAAAGAAAAGCAGATGCCACATTGGGGCACCTTGCTGAGTTGGCACATGGCCTCAGGGAATTCCTATAGACCACAGAAGCTGGGGATGAGCAGCATGAAGGGCTGCTCTGTGAACTGCCACATGAAGGGCATAGTCCAGGTCAGGTGTGTGCTGTAGCCTCAGTGCAGCAGCCCAGCTACAACCAGGCTTTGGGTGTGTCATGTTGCTCCCACCATGCCCATCTTGAATGTTCTGTTCCCTTAGGAGATTGGGAGAAGAGGGCTTCTCAGACCAAATAGAGTTCAGTTAAAAGATGAGGCTCTGGAGCCAGACTGTGCTTGAGACTACCACTGGCACTTGGTGGCTGGTGCCTTTGGCAGATTATTTAACCTCTGGGTCTTAGTTTCCTCATTTGTAAAATGAGATAATAAGAGCAGCTTTGAGAATTAGGTAAGTCAATGCGTGTAAAGTACTGAGCACAGAGCCCCAGCAGGCAGGAAGCATTTGTGACATTAGGTTCTCTCTGCATTCCCTGCGCTCCTTTCCTGCCCTGACTCACCTTGATCACTGTGGAGAAGAGAGGCCTCTGATTCCTGGCCTTCATCTTTCCTGTTCCTGGATAGAATGTCAGAATATCAGTCATCTCTCTGGGTTGTGATATTGTGGATGACTTTGTATTTTTATTGTTATTTCATATTTATTCCATAATAAGGAAATATTTCCTTTATAAGATTTTCTTATGATGAGTGCCCTAGAAGATTATACAGCTGGCCTGGAGATAAATTTTTTTTTATCTATTCTTTTTTTTTTTTTTTTTTTTTTGCACTCAGGGTCTACATCTTGATCCACTCCACCAGCCCTTTTTTTGTGATGGGTTTTTTCTTTTTTTTTTTTAATTTTTATTTTTTTATTATTCATATATGCATACAATGCTTGGGTCATTTCTCCCCCCTGCCCCCACCCCCTCCCTTACCACCCACTCTGCCCCCTTCCTCTCCCCCCAACCCCCTCAATACCCAGCAGAAACTATTTTGCCCTTATCTCTAATTTTGTTGTAGAGAGAGTATAAGCAATAATAGGAAGGAACAGGGATTTTTGCTGGTTGAGATAAGGATAGCTATACAGGGAGTTGACTCACATTGATTTCCTGTGCGTGGGTGTTACCTTCTAGGTTAATTCTTTTTGATCTCACCTTTTCTCTAGTTCCTGGTCCCCTTCTCCTATTGGCCTCAGTAGCTTTTAAGGTATCTGCTTTAGTTTCTCTGTGTTGAGGGCAACAAATGCTAGCTAATTTTTTAGGTGTCTTACCTATCCTCACCCCTTCCTTGTGTGCTCTCGCTTTTATCATGTGCTCAAAGTCCAATCCCCTTGTTGTGTTTGCTCTTGATCTAATGTCCGCATATGAGGGAGAACATACAATTTTTGGTCTTTTGGGTCAGGCTAACCTCACTCAGAATGATGTTCTCCAATTCCATGTGATGGGTTTTTTCGAGATGGGGTCTCCTGAACTATTTACCTGGGCTGGCTTCAAAACACGATTCTCCTGCTCTCTACCTCCTGAGTAGCTAGGATTACAGGCGTGAGCCACAGGCGCCCAGCCTTTTATCTGTTCTTAACTTGGAATGAGCATTTTAGGAGCAAAAGAGTTGGAAAGGCAGTTCTCCTCATTTTTTACCTTCTCCTTTGGTCAGCAGAGTCCCCACACTTTGTAACCCATCTTCTAGCCCTCTCACAGTGCACCCAAAAATATAGTGCCTTGCTTTGCTACAGAGAGAATTACTAAGGAGGAAAAATAACATAAATGCTGTCACGTTTTTTGCTCCATGGAGGTTGCCAGACAAGAATTTTCTGGCCAGCTTAGCCAGTTCACCTAGCAGAATTCCTTAGCTCCCACCTGCCCATTTTCTTTGTCCAGAAGAATCTTTATGACTTATGCATAAACTTCCCACTGAATGCCTAATAAGCTATTCAGTTACTATTTCATCCACATAATAGGATCTGCAGGTAGTCAGCACTGCCTCCTTGCAAGTGTTCAGAATATTACAGCAACTAACAGTCCTAAAATTCTCAAAGAAGAAGCACTTTGTTCTCTTTTAAAAATGAATAGGCATTACTACTAAGCCCCCCTAAATCACTAACCTGTCTTTTTTGTCATTAGCTTATTATAGTTGTACAGGGGGTACATTGTGACATTCACATAAGTGCTTACAATACATTGACCTATCTTAAGTTAAGCCAGTTCCTCAAAAGTACTTTGTGGCTGGCTGGGTGCCAGTGGCTCATGCCTATAATCCTAGCTACTTGGGAGGCGAGGAGTGGGAGGATCGAGGTTTGAGGCCAGCCTGTGCAAATAGTTCAAGAGCCCTCATCTCCAAAATAACCAAAGCAAAATGGGCTGGAGATGTGGCTCAAGCAGTAGAGTGCCTGCTTTGCTTTGCAAGTATGAAGCCCTGAGTTCAAATCCCAGTTCTACCAAAAAGAAAATATTACTTTGTATCTGTTGGTATCCCTATTGTAGGGAAGAAGGGGATCAGAAGCTCCTCTTTCCTGTCCCAGCATGCCTTTCTGCATGGCTGCCATATACACCTGGTTTATCCTATTTGAACAGTGTGCATTGAACATTTGCATTGTGAGAATAAACATGTATCCCTTCCTCTTTGTGTGCTGCAGCATTTAGTAAGTACGCATTCACATGGAAGTTGATGTTTCTTGATACTTGTCAAAGCAGGATTATGACCTTTTTAAAAAATGCTAACAACTGTGATCATGCTTCCTATGTTAACCAGAGATTCTTATTTGTGTTTCCTCTCAAAGCATCAACGACAACTTTCTTTGCCACTTACCCAATCTAAGTCATCACCCAAAAGAGGATTTTTCAGGGAAGAGACAGATCATTTATTTAAAAACCTTCTGGGCAAGAGAATCAGTAAACTTATTAATTCTTCTGATGAGTTGCAAGACAATTGTCGAGAGTTCTATGACAGCTGGCATAGTAAACCTACTGACTACCATAGTTTGTTGTTGCCTCACATCGAGGGACCAGAAATCAAAGTCTGGGCCCAGCGCTACTTGCGTTGGATTCCAGAAGCCCAAATCTTAGGTGGTGGCAGAGTGGCCACTATGAGCAAACTCTTGGAAATGATGGAGGAAGTCCAGAGCTTACAAGAAAAGATCGACGAGAGACACCACAGCCAGGTGCTCCTCCCTGCAGAGGCCCCCTGCCTGCTGAGGAACTCTACCCGCCTGTCCTCTTTGTTTCCTTTTGCTCTGCTCCAGCGACATTCATCCAAGCCCATCTTACCCACTAGTGGATGGAAAACTTTGGGAGATGAAGAAGATCTGGCCAAACGAGAAGATGAGTTTGTGGATCTTGGGGACGTGTGATTGTGTGTTCGGTGTTGTGAAAGAGGCCTCTGGGAGGTTGGGACAGTTGATCCCCAGGCTGGGGTCATGCTAATGCTGGGAGGGTTACTAGCCCAGTGCTCTGTTGGAGAAAAACTGGGGCTTCAGGAAGAGAGCTGGTTCTCAATTTTTTTTTATATAGTTCTGAAAGACTATGCAATTAAAACCTTATCTCTAGTATTACTAATTGAAGGGAATTCCTGTTTGACCCATCATAGGATTGTGGCCATTTTCTGTTGCCTAAGTATTATACAGAATCTGTAATGGCCAGTTTACAACTACAAAGAGCTTCAGTAAGATATTCTTGGGCTTGATACTATCTTCTGATCCTTTCTGTGCCAAGATAATGTATTTAGTCATTGAGAACAGTAAGTTTCTCTATAACCATCTTGGTTTGGAGCAAAGTCAACTTTATATAGTATTCATATGAATCAAAAGATTGAAATAGAGCTATTAAGATGTGTGACATTTACTTAAACCATAGCATTTTCCCTTTCTGTGTTGCCTTGTTTGTAGAAAAGCAGGAAAATTCCACTGTGTCACTCATTCTAACACTCAGCCCCTCCTCCCTCCTGCCTGGACTGTCAGGTCATGTGGAGGAACTGGACTAACCAGCCACTGCCCTCTTTTCTGTGCTGACACCTCCAGGTCTTTCCTCTTCTGGCTCCATGCCACTCACCACTGTCCTTCCGTACCATGCGCCTTGGCTCATCACGTAGTCCCAGCGTCTTGCTGCTAAACCTGTTGTTAAACTGGGGAGCTCCCAGTGGAGCTTCAATACCCTTGGAGTCTCTCCAGTGTTTGAATAACTTGCTTTGCTTTCTGCTAATCGCATCCTGAGGCTTCAGAGCACCTGTGATTGTGCTTCTCTTTTACCTTCACAGACGCTGGGGTGCGTCACTTTTGAATGTGCTTTCATAGGAAAGCAGTTAAGCATAAATCTCAGAAGTGGTGATTATCACAGGATACCTCAGTAACTTAAAAAGCCATAGAAGAAATTCGACTATGCCTGGTCACCTTGGATCTGCTGTCTAAATGACACATATATTTTTTAATGTATGAAAGTATACTTTGTAAGGACCAGGTTTTCATTCTCAGTAGAACCCTGTCAAATCCCACCAAGGAAAGGGGAAAAAAAACTCACATTAGAATGTTTTGAATGTTTGCCTTTTATATATATTTGCTGTCCAGGATAGAGTCTAACTTGGATGTTAGGATGTTTTAAAAAACTTCGAGTTGCTCAAGGGCAGTGAGAAAATTTGAAACTCTTCACCAAGACTAGTTTCTGATTTGCACTGAATCGTCTTTTGTACTTACAGTCACTTTGCCCTTTTCCCACTCCACGCTAATGCCAGAGCCAAGTCTTCATCAGCTGAGATGACAGGTTGAGGGGAGGGCAGGAATCGAGCTTCTGGGGGCCACACATTTGTTCAGTCTTTGTTGCCTTAAGAGTCTTAAAGGCCAAGTTTGTGTTAGGCTTGCGATGGGGAGTTTAAAATACACTAGTTCCTTAGCTAACTTCACATACGTTCTGTGGGCCTTCTTAAAGTAGCACTAAACTCCACTTCTTTGCCCCATTGCCTCCCAAATACACTATGGAGCTAACTATTTTGTTACTATATAGCGTGAATATTTATATGATAGCCTCTTCAGTCTTAGTAATTTCCATTCCGAAACTTTCTAGTGTGATGTTTTACATTCCACGAAGTATGGTTTAAAGGCACAAGGTCATGGCCCTTGTCATAGCAACTGAATGTGCATTGAAATATTTTTCTATTTTTTTTAATTACAATAGAAAAATAAGGAAGCCGTAATATGTAAGGTCATGACCATTTATGTATTTATATTTGAAATCAGATTTCTATAACTTGTATTTGTGTACAGAATTCTTAGTGGGTTTATATATTGTGAAATTTTTATTCAAGAGTGAGATGTGGATTATGCTTAATAGCAAAAGTTGAAATGAGACCATTTACTTTGTTTTAAAATGCTGCACTGTGCAAGTTTAGAAATGTACGTTAATAACTCACTGTATATATTATCTTGAGTTTGTTTATACCTCCAAGTTTTTACACTGAAGATAAACTAGCTTTAACTAAATTCAAATTTCTCTCTCTCTTTTTTTCTAAGGGAATAAGCTATTGGGCTAAATCTGTATAAACGTGCTTTTTATTTTCTGGATACATAATGAAAGTTTATACTTGTGTCTCACTGCATCATATCTGATTGCAGAAATTAAAGCACAATTTGCAAGCAGTACTGTATTTGGCATGATTAGTTTAACACACAGAGTAATCCTTTTTGTTCGTTCAGGAAATGTTTAAAATTCCAGGTGGTAGTGATAAAATGCTATGAAGAAAAATGTAAGAAGGCCCTATGGGGTAACTGAAAGAAAATGGGTTTTTGAGTCCCTGGGATCAAATACCACAGCTTCTTTGCTTTTATGGGGATGTATAATATTGTAATTCTCTTATTTTATTGCTGGAAGGAGCTGAGTTCATGTGAAGCTAAGAGATAGAAAAGACTTGGTTTTTCCTTCTGGAGGGCCTCACACTTGCTAGGCAGGTGCTCTACCACTTGACCCAGCCCACCAAGGCTGTTTTCTGTTGGGTATTTTCAAGATAGCATCTCGTGAGCTGTTTCCCTGGATTGGCCTTGAACTGCAGTTCTCCTGATCTCTGCCTCCCAAGTAGGTAGGATTACAGGCATGAGCCATCAGCACATGGCTTCTAATTAGTTTTGTTTGATAACTTTCTAGATTGAGACATGTTGCTTGTGTTTGTTCTGAGAAGTTCAGTTTCTTTGCCCTTTCTTACCTGCAGAGCAAACTTCCCAACCTTTGCTTGCCCACACCCTGTAACACCCTTTCCTGTCTGGACAGCCCTCTTGCAATATCCAGAAAGCCAACCTTGAAGCATCCCTGAAATCTAACAAGCTTTCCTTGCTACCACATTCCTTCAGAGGTTTAGTTCTTTGATATTTGTATTAAATTCCTAAGGTTTTTATGACCCTAGAGTTCAGGAACTTCTAACCTTATCTTCTGCGTCTGATTGGCTCTTGGGCTTTTGATGGACTCTGTGGACTCTGGCTCTTGATTTCGCTTGTTCCTCAGTTTCAGGTGAGGTTGTCAGGGGACTTAATAAGGTAGTAGAGAGCAACATTTTTCATCTAGTGTGAAACAGGATGGGAGCTGGTTCCCATTGAGAACTGGCCCATGGCTCCATGTCACCTCTCCTTTGAGGAGAAGTTGGCAGCAGCAGGAGCTTGACTAAAGCCTATTTTCTGAGCTCCTGGTGTGGTTGTGGTCAAAGTTGCTCTCCAGGACTATGCTTATGCTCCCTTGGCTCAAGAATATTTATACAAAGGCTGGGGGTGTGGCTCAAGCGGATTTGTACTAGGTACAAATCCCAGTACACACACACAAAGAATATTTATACAGCTGTCCCTGGGGCAGGACAAATTGAGGCTATGCATCCGGGACAGGGACAGGATCTCTAGTGGTTCATGGCCTTGTGCTGCAATATGCTTTTCCAAGAACTTCTCCAACACACATACATGCCCATGCACACGCCCTGTAACACTGAAAAAAGTTAGGATGAAGGTAGAAGAGGCAGTCCCCATTTATGCTATGGGTTCCAGCTTAACCAAGGATGTGTAGAAATGCCTACCTGTGAGTAAGTTGATAGCCAGGTCAGTGTGGATAGTGCAAAATAAAAAGTTTTAAGTATCATTTAAATATCAAGGAAAGTAATTTGCTCAAGTGATGGTTTTATGACTTTAAGAACAGACATCCTATTTTGTGGTTCTGGCCCAAGTTTTTTTGTTAATCCTCCTTTTACCCTGCCTTTAGCAATTGAAGGATATGAAGTATATAATCATATGGAAATAAACACAGTAAGCTTTCTGGTCACCTTTTAAAAAGACTTTCCAGTTTTGCTAGCCAGCTTTAAAAAGGGCTGCACAGCCTCTGAAGCTTTTTAGGAAATTCTAAGTGGAAGACTTTTCAAATTGCCCTCTTCACAGCAGTTCCCGCCTGATGAACTTACTGCATGGAAAGAATGCAGATGGGTCACATTTTATCCCTGGGCTGAGCCTGAAGACCCTGATTGGAATCTATTGCAGTAGCCTCAAGAAAATATTGAAAAGAGTCTGTTCCCAAACTGATCTAGGGTGGGTTACAGTCCATTGGGATTTCCTGGAGTGGACATGGAGAACAGGGATGGATAGGAAGGGACCCCAAGCAATGTTATGGAATGATAGTAGCAGTCTGTATCTTAATAATATTAGGTTTGGGTTATGTGAGTCAAAATCCAGAGAATGTACATGTAAGATTTGGGTGTTTCATTGTGTTTAATTTACTTTGGAATGGCACTAAAATTAAGCTAGATTAATGAGTAGATAAATAAACCTGGCTAGATATTTGATAAAGAAAATAGAGTAAAGTGTCAGTAGGGTGCTCTACAGGTAAAATAAGATAGTGCAGATGGTCACATAAAATTCTTTAAACTTTCCTAAGTGTTTGACACTTCTTTGAAGGGGGGACTGGGGTTTGAACTCAAGGCTTTGCACTTACTTACAAAGCAGGCATTCTTGGAGCCATATCTCCAGCCCCATGTTTGATACTTTTTTAAAGTAACATATTGGAAAGAAACTTAAGTCCTTCTAGAAATTATTAGAAACACAGGAAATGAAATGTATATGGGAGTATATTAATCCTTCAAGGAAGATAAACCCTATCCTTATCAAGCTATCTGGCCACCAGAAGAATGTAACAGAACTTGGGGAAAGAGGAAAGTGGTCATTTTGGATCTTGAAGAAAGAAATAGAGTGTTCATGTATCCCTGCCTCACCCAAGCCCTTTATTCCCCATTCCCTTGTGGCTGTATTGCCATTTTCTGTTGTCTGGATCACCATTCTCACCTTTCTCTACTTGTCCCTTCTTTATTGCTATGTAGCCTATAAATTATCAATAGGTCTTCCTAAAGTAGTCATATATACTTCCTGGCTCAAAAACTTAAAACTCTGCAGTAGCCAGGCACTGGTGGCTCACGCCTGTAATCCTAGCTCCTCAGAGATCAGGAGGATTGCGGTTTGAAGCCAGTCCAGACAAA